TAACATCATCTGTAAGGGGCTATAATGCACCTCCAGAGATGAACACAAGATCACTTAGTAGTAGTATTCAAGTGAAAAATGCATAACTTTAATCTTATCATAACTAAACATCAAAGAATCCCAAATTGAAGAATAGTCTATGAAATAACTGCCTGTATTATTTCCAAAAATATCAGTGGCATGAAAAGCAAAGAAGGGCTAATAAATTGTTCTACATAAAAGATAAGTGACCTGACACCTACAAGCAATACATGATCATCCTGGTCTGTTTCCTGCAGGCAAAAAAAAAAAAAAAAAACATGTCTATGGTAATTAAGGTTGTGTGTCAGCTTGATTGGGCTGTGTTTTTGAGTGACTTGGCTGCTAGATGTAGTTATTTCCCATGATGAGATTGTAATCAGCTCCATGTAGAAGCTGCTGTGAGCAGCTAAGTAGTTGAAGGGGAGTTACCTTCAGGGTCTGGGACTGCTTCCAGTATGTACAGAAAAGCTTTAGGAAAGGTCTCTAGCTTTTTGGCACATTTGGATTCTGCATTTGGCTGAGTCTTCATATCCAGCTCCTGGACTTGAACCAGCAGTCTGCCATGCTGCCTGTCTATCTTGTGATTGTGCCATTTTACCTGCTGACATTGGGTTCATCAGCATCGACAGCCAGCAGCTGCACGAGTTAGGAGACGCCTCCAGCTCCAGTGGGCCTGGACAAAAAGCAGAGCTGAAGCCCCAGGTTGAGGGGCCTTCACCCAGCCCCTAGAGCAGCACTCTGAATTTGGACTTCTAGCCTCTTAAATTGTAAAACAATAAATTCCTGGTTGCAAAGCTATACACTTCTGGTATTCCTGTTATAGCAGCACTAGAGAACTCAGACAGTTTGTGTCTATGTTTATATCTGTGTATACATACACATATATACATATAATGAAGGACATTATTGGTAAAATTGACAAAATTCGAAAATGGGCTATGGATTAAAGTATGACATTGATGTAAACGGTTTCTGAATTTGTTAACTATTACTAAAGACAGTTAAGAGAATATTATTGTCTACAAGCCCTAGTCACACTTCAGGCTTGGAATTGGACTCACTCTCATAAATTAACTCTCAAACAACAGACAGCCCTACGAGCTGAACACCTATACCAGGGAGATGCCCTCCTTAGAATGATCAACCACAGTAGATCAGAAGGGCAGCATTTACACAAGAAGAAAGCTAAGGAGGCAAGAATGTACAGGCAAGAAGGAAAGAAAGGAAGTGTGAAGAGAGCTATTACATTGTGGGAATTGTAAACAGCGTCATAAAATAAAATGTGTAAACTGTTGAATGGAATTCAAAACTGCTTTGTCAAATTTCACCCAAATCACAATAACAAAGTTAGAAAAAAAAAAGAGAATATTGTTCTTAGATAATATACACTGAAATATTAAGTTCTACCAAACAGCCTGATGTATATACTCTCAAATGGTTCTGAAAAAAAAAATAGAGATAAGGATAGATATGAATGTATATCTTAAGTGCTCTCTCTGACAGAGACAGAGACAGAGAGAGACAAGGAAATAATGACAAAGCAAATGTGACAAAATGTTAAAGCTGATAAGGGGTAAACAGGAGTTCTTTTTACTATTCTTGAATTGCTTCTTCAAGTTTACAATTATTTCCAAATAAAACAATGAAAAATCAATAAAACAAAAAGAAATATTTCTTCGACATGACATTTACTTCTGAGCAACAGCAAGTATCACACTTAACAAACACTAGCAGCATCCTTCCAGTGCCTAGAACAAGGAAAAAACGCCACTTTCCTTCCCATTGCACTAAAGGTGCTCGTTAGCCGCTGCGGGTTCAGCCCAAATCATGGGGACCTATGTGATAGAGTAGAACTGCTTCATAGGGTTTTCTTAGCTTAATCTTTATGGAAGCAGCTCACCAGGCCTTTCTTCCATAGTGCCACTGCCAAATCTTTCATTAGCAGCTGATCATAACTGCTTGGGCCACCCAGGCTCATGAGAGGTACCAGCCAGCACAATTAGACAAAAGAACGAAATAAGAGGTTTAAAACTTCAAAAGGAGGTAAAATATCACTACTTGCAGACAATGTGATTATAAACCTAGAAAACTCAAGCAAGTAATTTTTAAAAAAGAAAATTCAGTAAGAAAGTTTACTGAATTAATATACAGAAATTACTGGCTTTCATTTATGACAGGGAAGCACTAAAGTTTGGCGTCAGTATCTGGTAAAAATCTTAAATGTAGTTTCAGCTTCAATCTCAGTCTTTGAAAGGAAGAGCCAAACAAGCACAGCAATATTGACGACTTTGTGCTCGCCCTCACTCTCCTGAATGGCGCCCTCATTATTTTCAGAGCCTGGAACGTTCATAGGTTGCAGACAGAACACTCCAGGGCCAAAATAAGTCGTCCCCTACCACAAACATCCCACTTCCTGTGCCCCCCCAGCCCCGCAAGGTCTCAAGATTCCACTGGCGTCTACCTACCCCACCCCACCCCCGTCACGCCCACCCACAGCTGCGCAGGCGCCTGCGGACACTACAGGGTCCAACAGCGCCCCCACAACACCAGCTGGAGCCGGCGCGGGTTTGCTCAGCCTATGCCCGACTCTCTAGGCCACTAGCTTAAATGTCCATCAAGGGAGACCTAATTTAAATGAAAAATCCACACAAAGGTACGCTGCAGCCTTTAAAATAGTGTAAAGGGAAGAGAGAGAGAGAAGTAATATGCATGTGATTTGCTTTTAAGTGTACAAAATATTCTGGAATAAACAAATTGTAATAATGGTTACCTCCAAGATAAGAAATCAGATAGCTATGGGGCAAGAGCTCTGCTGGCATAGTGCCTAAGGCACTTGACTGCTAACCAGAAGGTTGGTGGTTCAAACCCACAAGCCACTCCTCTGAAGGAAGGTTGGGCAATCTAATTCCATAGAGATACCACCTCTGAAACCCAAGGAGGGGTCACTATAAGTCGGAGACTCAAGGGCACATAACAACAACAATGGGCAATAATGGAAGAAATAATTCCCTATGTGCTTTGAACCCTGTAAGTCTGACCCATTCCAAAATGAGCCTTGAGTGTTGTCTCCTATTAACACTAGATAATGAGTTGAGCCACACTCTTCCTTTTGTAGCCAGATGTATTCACACCATGCACACGTGCTTTTACAGACACTCAGATCAAAAGTTCTGACCATGTATCCTCTTAAGTGGAACATGATTCCCCAAACCCAGGTCTGTAGTTCCAGTTTCCTAGGCAAGTTAGTTAATCCTTCTGCATTGTATTTCATCACCTGTAAATTGAGCTAAGGAGTCTCTGGGTGGCCAGAACAATTAAGCGCTGAGCACTAGCCAAATGGTTAGTTTAAACTCACCAGAGCTCACAGCCTTGCAAATCTATGAAGTAGTTCTACCCTGCACATAAGGCGTCTCCATGAGTTAGACTAGACTCAGTGACAACTAACAACAAAACTAAGTTATAAACAGAAAACTCCTTAAGGTTGTAGTTCAGATAACTAGATAAAGTAAGTAAAATCTTACTACGGTTTATGGTAGCATAACTACTGCAGTACTGGAGTCTCTGAGTGGTGTAAACAGCTAATGCATTCGACATGCTCACCTCCGTGGTAGTCACGGCTGCCAGTTGAGCAGGGAAGGGGCCCCTGCCGGATGTCAAAAGGGTGGAGTTTGGAGGCCACCCAAAGGCATCTCAGAGCAAAGAGCTGACGATCTACTTCCAAAAAAAAAAAATCAATCACTGAAAACTCTATGAAGTACATTGTATTCTGACATACATGGGGTCACCCATCAAGAGTCGGAATCAACCCGATGGCAGTAGGTTGGGTTTTTTGTTTTTGTTTTCTTTGGTTTACTGACTACAACACTAGCATCACTTTCCCTCCCAATAGCTAAGAACAGATCTGTCATTAACAGTGTAGGCGAACAGTGGCCTAAGAGCGTCACTCAAAACTCACCCCATTATAGGATTAAAAAGAGAGCACTGGGCATTTCCAGGCGGGGCCTGGAGGCAGGCTGTGATTATAACTTCAGGTCCTGGTGCCCACAGCATTCTAGCTTCCTGCTATCAGGACTTGCCCTGTATTGGCACCTCCGCATCTGAGGTCAAAATACAGAAGCTCGAAAACGTGACATTAGAAGACAAGCCCTATTTAAAAAAAAAAGAAAAAAACTCACTGCCCTCAAGTCGATTTCGACTCGTAGCGACTATTCCTAGGGTTTCCGAGGCAGTATCTCTACACTTGCCTGCTAACCAGACGGCTGGCGGTTCAAACCCACCAGCCACTCCTCGGAAGGAAGGTTGGGCAATCCTACTTCCGTAGTGATAACTGCCTCGGAAACCCAAGGAGGGGTCGCTATGAGTCGGGGCCGACTCGACGGCACTTAACAACAACAACAACATCTCTACGGAAGTAACTTGCCCAATCGTCCTTCTGAAGAGTGTCTGGTGGCTTTGAACCGCTAGCCTTCTGCTTAGCAGTCAAATGCCTTAGGCACTACGCCACCAGAGCTCCGCCGACAAGCCCTATAGCGGGCATGATTATTCTGCCCCCTACAGATTTATAGAAGTATTTCCTTATAGTGATCTACCAATCACAGCCACCATATTGGACTGCACAGACGCTTCTGCCCCTCTAGGGCGGAGCTTAGCGTGACTTTTTGCGACTTCGGTTCCGCTAGCGTCACCTGCAACATAATTGGCCCTCTGGTGCGTATCCGGTTGGCGTGAGGAAGCGGGAGGATTGGAACACGCGAGGCCGAGTCTTGTGCTGGACTTGCCTCCCTCAGACCCAGACTGCGGCCCACCTGGGAGGCGTCTCTGGAGCTTCAAAGACTCGCCCTGTGTCACCCGGTCCTGCGCCCCTCCGCCCTCAGACCTCACCTGACCATCAGGACCCGTCACTGCGCAAAGTGGTGATCCACTGCGCCCCGCGCTCTCCGCCACATCCCAGGAGCTCTGACTGCAACGCCGTCGAGGTGATGTTCAGCCGGCCCCGCAGCCCTAGCCCTTGCAGTGCGCCCTGGTGGGATCCTCAGCGCGAGGAACCCCGTCCCGCCAAGCGCCTCCGATGGGAGGAGCCTGAGGTCCAGGCTGGGCCACCGGAGGCTGCGGGTACGCTCACTTCCGTGGTGGTCTTGGCCGAAGGTTGTGCCCTGCAGGTGCCCCTACGCGACGCCGACCTGGTGCTGGAGCCTGCGCCAGCGTCCATCCTGCGAGTGTCTCTCGGAAACTACACCCTCATCCTGATCAACGAGACCCTCCTAGGCTCGGTCGTCGAAGACTCCAGAGACGGAGAGCAGAGCGACTCGTCTGTCAGTCTAGAACTGGGGTCTTTCCTGAGCGTTCTCTGCGACGAGGTGGCCGTAGAACAGGGATCCTTCTGCGCATCCGCCTCGGAGACCGCCGCTTCAGCAGAGGCCGACGAGGAAGACTCGGACGCCGAGTTTCTGCAGGGGGATGCCGAGTTCTTGCAGCTCTGGATCGACCCTCAGGCCGACTCTGTCGCTGAGCTCCACCCCTCAGTTAGAAGAGTGCCCAGCCCCTGCCCGCTGGGCTGCATCCCAGAGCCCTCTTCTCTGGACTCCCAACTTCTGGAACCCTTTCCTAGCTCACCCCTTCAGCCCCTGCCCCCCTCTCCGAGTCCAGGCCCCCACGAGCGCCCCCAGCGCTCTCCTCGCCCTCTGTGCAAGGCGCGGAGACGCTTGTTCTAGGACTTACCACCTACACGCCAGCCAGGCTACGCTCTGAAGGCACTCGAGTTTCGGAGTCTTCGTTGATTTAACAGCCTGGAGATTGAGCACTCGTGAGCAGACGGGACAATTGTTTTTTTCTGTGCAGTCTACTGACAGATAATAACAGATCAGAACATCGGGAAGAGAAAGCAGGTTCTAGACCTTATCTTTGAAATCGGAAATCCATCCAGGGATACCGGACGCTGTATTTTCAGACATCTAGGCTGCCTCAGGCCCCTCCATTCCCCTTCATTTTGCATCAGTTATTTTTTCGCAAAATCCACCCTTTCTCCAGCACTAGCTACTTCTTCCCAAACCAAAATAATCACTGCATTTTGTTATGTGATGAGTTTCCTTGTATGTTTCCTTATGAATTTATGAACTCTTAACCATAACTTTTCTTTTTCTTGGTGTTTCCAGCTGCTCTTCTGGGAATCTGCCAAATAGTATGATAGTTACTCTAAGTAATAATAATAATGTGATAGTAAAATATATGTTCATAGCCACTCCTTAAAAACCTGTTGAAGTTTTCTTCCATCACTTTACTTTTGGTTATGTATATACGTAGAACTTTATCATATTTTCAACATTGAGATATGTATTACTTTTTTATTTGTTCATCTGGACTGATGGAAAATATTTGCACTCTTGCTGTTCCACGTTATTTTATACCAAATTCCACCTTGAGTTTTTTTCTCCTCATGTTTTTTTTAGTTTGGAAAACAACCATGTGAACCAAACTTTTCATTTGTAGAAAGTTAATTTATTGTCATGTTTGCTTTGTATTTTTATAAAGGAAATAAAATATTACCGGTAAAGCTTAAGTCAGTAAATTATTTCATTTTTTTAAACATCAATATTTACTTAGATTTGTCAACATGCTTTACTAATTCTTTCCTGTCCCTTTCCTAAAATCCTACAAAATCTTAGGCTCTATGTCTTGGAATATTCCACAGGTGCCTTTGTTTGGAAATGGGAATGTGATATATAATGACACTGCTCAATCAGTCCTGAATTACTCCTAGCAATTTCATATCGCATACATATGTGTGTGTATACCCTTTGTCCATTCAGCTTTCACTTTTCTTTAGTTCAATTAACTGATCTTTTCATTGACTGATTCCAGTATTGTTTATACTTTTTTAAGAAAGTTTTCATTTCTATTACTGCATTTTTTTCATTTCAAGATTTTTATTTCCCTGTTCTTGTTTCCAAATTTCTGAACTTGGAATCATAACTATTTTGTCTTCTGAATAGTAGTCTGTCCTTTACATTTTGAATTTTTTTTCTTTTAAATTATTATGTTTTTTATTGTGATTTGGGTGAAAATTTACAGAGCAAATACACTTTCCATACAGCAGTTCACATACACTTTGTCTCATGACATTGACCACAATTTAGCACAATGCAACATCTCCCCTCCCACTTCCTCCCGATAGTTACCTCTTCCCTGTGTCCATCTCTCTGTGCACTCCTACTCTCTAAGCTATCTCCCTGTGCCTTAGCAACCCCTCTTTCTCTCATGCTTATTCTCTCCAAGGAGTGTATCTACCTCAGGTAAATGCTCAACTGATATGGCTGTCTATTGTTTGGCTGGAAGCCACAGGTGTGCGTTCAATTCCAGACCTGAAGGGAGGAAGCTAGGGGCCATAGTCTCAGTGGTTCCATCAGGCTCCCTCGGAGGTCAGCAAACCTGTTCACGGTTTTTTGTTTTTTTTCTTCCCAAATGATTTTGAGTTTTGTTCCACATTGTTCTCCCTGTCTATCCAGGATCTCCTACAAAGATCCTCTTCCAAGTGGTTGACAGTGTAGCCAAGCACCATCTATTTATTCTGGTCTCATTGTCGTACAGGCTGCAGACCGAATGGTGTACCAGTCGCTAGGACTAATTGTTTCCATGAATTTTTGGTTTTCTTCATTCTTCTTGGCTCTGGACGAGGAGAGACCCATCGATGCATCTAGATGGCAGCTTGCAGTCTTTTAAGATCTCATCGCTACTCGCCACAGTAGAAGGTGGAACAATGTTTTGTGTAGTATGTTATGTCAATTGAGCTTGATGTCCTCTGTGACTGTGGTCTCGAGCCCACAGGTTCAACTACTCGTTCCCTCTGGGTAGCTGGCTGTGACCAAGCAGTGACTACAACCTTGCCCCTTGTCAGCCCCATTATACACCTGGAATTCAAATCATACACATAAAGTTAATGGGCCACTTTCTGCCAACCCTATACATGTTCTTGGGTGCACCCTTCACTTCATATACATACCTAATATTTCAACCTGTCCACCCGTCTATCCACCCATATACCCATGTTTGCCTTCACTGACCATGCC